GTCCCAGTAACTTGGTGGTCAGCGGTCTCTCTTAGCAATCTAAAGTTCCTCGGTTCAGTTACCGGTCGGATAATTAATACTTACTGCTGGGGAATGGAAAGCTAGAACTAAATAGTTTCTAGGGCTCTATGGTTTTTGAATCATTCTGTCATAGATGTCAGTTTGTGATCATTCTTAAAATCAGTCAAATCTTTGCAAAAGAATACTTGAAAATACTTTTTATCCCCGTTAATCCTAAACCTTAATGTTCATTAAGTTTATATCCTTGTAAAGTCACATGAGAAATTTATTTAGAACTATATAAGCCCCTAGCAAATGATTATAGTACAAACGTCATGTCACCACAATATAACCGAATAGTTTTTCTTTCACTTTATTTTTACCCTGATAATTATTTGACACAATTTTTTAATGTCTTTGTGTGTAGGATAGTGAAATATTATGATTCTCATTAATGCGGTTTCATTACTTTGTCGCATATACTATTCATCACATTAGGTCCTATAATAGACTACAGCGTTATTTAACAAACTTTAAAAACTAGTGTAATGCCAAAAGTGTTTCCGTGATCCGACTAATTTATCACCTCACGTGTTTAGAGAAGCCCCAGAATAAGATATAAAGTTTTGTTAGCGTAGTACACACGGAGTTATTAGGAGACTCGTACTGTTTTTTTGAATTACTATTGAATTTTTCTTTATTTATCATATGACATATTTATCCGTCGGGAAATTCTAAAATTCGAAAACATGCAGTTCTATTTATGAGACCATTTAATTGTGATGAAAAAATTAATCGAATTCTTATGAAAAACCAACTTTTGCCCAAAAAGACATGTCGAAATAAAATAATCACAAGACATGACAAAGGATCAAGACTAGTACTTCTCGGTAAAAGTGACTACGCTGGAAAGAATGATGTATCGGAAGACACACAAAAGTCCTGAAAACTTGAGGAGAAGAAAGATTTTCACAACAAATTAGGGAGCGGATTGACCAGAGGTTTGAAAAAACTAAGGGAAGAACAGGTTTTTTCAAAAATTTTATGTGAAGAAATCAGACCAACAGGTATATACACGCCAAGATGATACAGCCTACCTAAAGTATGTAAACTGGGGTTGACGTTAAGACCAATACTTGATATGCGAAATTCGCCCTACCATCCTTTAGCTAGATGGTTAGCAACTATCCTCAAACCTTTGCATGAACAAATAGTGAAAGAATTTTTAGTGCTGGTAAATTACAAGTCATATTTCCTACATGACTGTTGGTGATGCCTGAAATGAAAGATGAAGTAACTAGAGAAGCCACCTCTAATTTTATCTACTAATTCAAATGCGCTCGTCGAGCGAGTTATATTTGATATTGCTCTAGGAACTTTATTTTTCGTGCGCGGAAACAGCTACTGGTGTAGCTAAATTATGGTATAGTGTAAAACGTCAACAGCTCTTAATTAGACCACCTAGTCCAAACCGAGTACCAGATAAAGTGCCAGAAGCATCCAGGTAACAAAGATTCCAAACAATAGAGGCTACTGTGATCCGCCTGAAAAAGCCGGTGCTCTGTGTGCAGAAGGAAAAAGTTCAAACACTACCAATGAACTGGCCTTCTCTGGAACCTGTAAATTCATGAATTTCTAATTATTATTTTTCCTAATCTGTTTAGTATTCAGTGTATTTCTATGTTGATCCATATTATCACTCTCACTGGTGCTGTTGAACTGTAATCGATCGATATTTCTGATTCGATGTAACTTAAACATTAATGTTGTTAGTAACCCTAAATCTTTCATTATGATGAATTTATAGCTGAGGGATCCTATGAAGAAGTTATCGAACAGAATACTCTTTGTTCAGTAATCAGTCCTTTCGAATAATTATATTGATTTAAGTGATATTAAATAAAATAGAAATGTATTTGTGTCCCAGTTCATCTACCATTCTAGTAATTATTGGTCCTAATACTTCCAGTGAGAAGGTAAATAAAATCAGGAGTCATTCAATTATATAATTCATTGCATTCAATAAGTTTTTAATTCAGGAAGAGCTAAGAAATAGGAATAAACTCAACTACTTTCACCCAGTTAACAACTAATCATGTGGTATCTTTATTGAAATTAATCCAGTGATATCTAACACCTAAGAAATTACCATACTCACCATATATCAAAAAAATTTCAGGAATATATATATATACATATGTACCTAAACTTATCTTAGGCGTAACTTAGGTTAATGAAGAAAGTTCTTCTAAAAATAACAGAGCTAAACTGATTGGAGAGGTTAACATTCAAAATAAATCAATAAACCTGTTCCTTATTATGTGAAACGCATTCGTGAAAAAATTTGAACACAGAAGAGTTTATAGGTTTCCAGGCCGTAGGTGTTACGAACTTCCTGAAATAATTTGAGCGCCGAGTCAGATTGATTCATTATAAATTATTTAAATGAATCCCAGCTGTGGCTTACACAGCGAAACGTTCAGAAAAATCTTGTTTTGATTTTCTTAACACGCTGGGAATAATTTAAATAATTTACAGAAGAGTTTGGTTATATTGATAATCTGCACCACTGTGTTACGGTATGGAAAACAGTGGGATTTTTAAGCGAATCTGGTTGTTTGTAGACTCACAATATAACACTTAGTTTGATAAGAGAAAAATGTTTTAAAGATGTAAGATGATTCTGAAGAGGTTCTATGCTCTCAGTCTAAACTGTAAGTCAAAACCTATTGGTCCACTTGTTTCATTTGTGAGGGAAAGATGAGTTTGCGCTAACTTTATAGACCAACTCCATGCACCTAATCTTATACGCCATTCACGATTATGAACACTATTACTCTTCTTCTGCTATTTAAGAGTTTTTGTGTAGTATTACACCGAATAAATTCTGCGTTCTATATGTAAAGAATATTCGCATCATAAGGAAGCCTTAAGACTTCGTCATGGAAGGCTACGTTGCTTCTCGTGTGGTTGTATTCGTGACTAAATAACCAACTAGACAGGATCAATATAGTTAACAAAATTGAGTGCGATTGAACAATGAAATAACAGAATTAAGATATATATATATATATGAGCCAGTAATACAGTAAGGTCAATAATTTCAAAACATAAAATATAAAACAATTTTCAGACTAGGTCAACGAAAAAACTGATAACTGAAGTGCGAACTTGACCTAGGTCTGTTTTCTAACCTCTTTTTAACGCTTTATCATTTTCATACATATTCCTATGAAATGTACGCGTGTGATCAGATTGTTCGAAATGCGCTGGTCAAATACATTACACGATTCAGATAAATTACGTCTTCTCATTACTTTGTCCAAAAACATTAATTGTCGCAACTTCCGTGGTTTGAAAATTTCTATCAGCACCATTTTTCAGGAGATTCGCAAGTATTCCATGATTAACGATAAAACTGGTTTGTGAGTCCACCTAATAAATTACTGAATTAAAAGATTGCATGTTGTAAGATAGAGCTTCAAGAATACTTACTTCCTCCTTCACAAAATAAAGATAGCGCATTCGTGATGATACACTTAGACAATAAATGATGTGCTACAAAAAAGCCAATGCACTGACTGGTACTCACTGAGCATTCTAGTAGTGGTCAGATGTCATCAGCAAACTATGCAGATCACAAGAAAATTAGGAAAACCTTCGCCTATTATTATAAAAGTCTATGTATTTCCCGATGAATGAAAAACAGAACGATACTGCTTTTACTGAAGTTTCACTATTTAATTTCCAATAGCTTATCAAAGTACTATTAAACCAGAATTTATAAAATCTCGGCTTTTACATAGCAAATGAGTTATTGTTTTTCAGCATAGGGTTATCCTTATGTTGTTGTCAAGTTAGGCAATTGGCAAAGATAACAAAACAATGAGTAGAATATCATATAAGCAAGATAAAATAAATAGTCCCTATTATAAATTTGGATAGTACTATTAGATGTGACAGGTAAATTTAAAAATGTGATGTAGTTGCGCTATACATTTCGAACAATCTGATCACACATTCACTTTTCAATTCGATAAATACAAATACAAAAAATTAAAGGGCGATTAAAGTACACAAAGTGACAAATAGAATTTAAGAATAATGAGAATAATTAACACAACTTTTGGTAATCCAATCAAATAGGGATTACCAAGGTGGGTAAGGAATAATAATGAAGTGCTTTATAGCTGTTTTTAGCATCATTTATTGTCAAGGCGTATCATCACTAATGTTCTATATTCATTTAGTGGAGGAGAATGTAAATATTCTTGAAGTTCTACCTTATAAGGTGTTATCTTTTAATGTCTTTTACTTCTGACTTCCAATTAAACGAATTCCCATTAAATCGTGGTTACTATATGACAAATCTGTCGTCGGTTGAACTTTTAGTACATGAATGGAGGCGCTATCATTTGGTTTCAATTTTTCTATCCCATTAAACAATATTTTAGACTTCACAATTGAAAATTTGTACGGTCAATTGAGTCCTCTAGTTCCTACCTAGACAGATGACCAAAGTTGGTTGAAAGCTAAATTTGTAGATGTAGCACATCAATTCCATCATTCAAGTCGAAAACAAAAAAGCATTTTGACACCAAAGAAATTACTTAACAGATCCTATTTTGCTATTCTGAAACCTGACAAAGGATCTGGTGTAGTTGTATTGGACAGAAGTGTTTATAAAGCAAAAATGATGATTAATAAAAATCCGAATAAATCTGATGAAGAAGCTGTGGCTTACACAGCGAAACGTTCAGAAAAATCTTGTTTTGATTTTAATATAGAAAATATCCCCATTTAGACATTTGGAAAACACAAAAGATTGAGCGAAGAAATATTTACTTTTCAATTAGATCCTCTTCTCTGGCTCTACTCTAATATATATAGCATTTTTACAATACACAACAATTTACCAAACAAGTGGTAACACGATGGGATTAATTTAAATAATTTATAATGAATCAATCTGACTCGGCGCTCAAATTATTCCAGGAAGTTCGTAACACCTACGGCCTGGAAACTTATAAAAATGACAAAAGGAAATTCATAGCCGATGTTGAAATTCACTGGAACCACTTATGTTTGAGCACATTTCATGTACAGTTTCTGTCAATCAGAGTATCTTTGAAAAAAGCAAGTGTAATACAACTGTGCCACATCAAACATGTGATTCGAAAGCAGCTCAAACAAACTTAGACAGTTTTAAGCCAGAATGAACAAAATAAACCACCGCACTAAGGAAGAATATTTATTGAAATGTGATTGGGCAACCAATTAAATTAATTATATGCCAGCTGAACTTTCTTAGGATTTGTAATTTATACACAATGTGTCATTGTCTAATAAAATGAATTGATCTCGCCTACTCGGACCAATCTATCCTGTCTTCGTCTCCGTAGGTCAAAGAGGTGTTGGACTGATAAATAATCAGCATATGATCTTTAGTCGAATTTTCTATTGCTTTTCAATATCAAAACCAAAAATCATCAGTATTCATATATCATCCGACATAACATTTCCATCCATTCTTTTGATATTACTTGTTAAACACACATTTTAACCTTCCACCGGATCCCATTTGGTGCTATTAAAATAGTTTATAAACGATAGACCTACACCATGGTGAATTTTTCAATCATGTAGACAACTCTTATGTTTACCTATAAGCATTCTACATGTTATTAGCTGATAGTAGTAACTATAATAATGGGCCAATAAGAAGCACAAGTAAAAACCAATCATATCACAGTAACTTTTCTTGATATAAATAAGTTTAATATATCTGAGAAATTTATTTTATTTTCCGTGTTCGTTTACTGTATAGGTGAGTAGATGGAAGTTGTTGGTTCACTTGACATCTGCCTTAGAATTACTTCTACTTTTCTACCTATTATTATGACGTTAATTTTAGAAATCTCTTTTACCTTAGATTAATTCAGTATACAATATGGAGTAAGTGAGCAATAGTTACTTAAATATTTACTTGAAACAATTTACAGTAAAATACACTTTTTTTACTTTATTCTTTTTATTTCCAAATTAATTGCACTTTGCTTTAGGAGCAATATGTAATTTTCTGTAATTCGATATTAGTTTAAGGTAAAATCGTACTTATGTGTTCAAAAATATAAGAGAATTATAAAATTACATTCTTACTGTTAGAAAAGACCCTGAAAGATTCCAAAAGTAGTTTCGTTTTCTCAACAGATAATTTATAGATTGTAAGACAATGTTTTTGTTAATAATAGGGGAAATACAAGTAAAAGAAATACAGGTTGCTGCACAGCTATTTAGGTCGATTTGTGGATTTCAGAAAATATGAATTATAATATTGGTTAACTTTACTTGGCGATCTGTATCCTGACTTTTCCATTTTAATGTAGTAATCCAAAATTTAAAAAAAACGTATACCGTATATGTAGCACCAGTGATTTTATAAGTTTTTCGGTTTAAGGAATATAAGAGATGTTTTTTAAATAACACATATCTTGTAAGATATAAGATGCCAAGTTACTGGCAATTAGCTTGAAAACTGTTGAATGAAACATCACCTTTTAAGCACTTAAGCCGCGCTGACCACTCATTAACTCTAATTTCAGATGTTTCTCTTGAAGATAAAAATATAACCCACTTGGAGTCCTTTCATTGAAATTTATTTACTGTGGAATGTTGTTATTCCGTTTTTATTCAGTAAAGCAATATTATATCCACATTGACTATATAGAAAAATTAGAATGACTGTCTTGTAAGACCTTCGCATTGAATGCGATTACTACTTTAGTGTGACTTGATTTTTCAAAATTGATTTACAAACGAAGAAAATCAATTGGACTTCTGTGATCAACATCACTTCCAGTAAAAATACCCCTCTTTCTTATCATTTTATCAGTAAAATTAACGGCTTTGAATGTACTGATTACCCTATACGTTTGAGTGCTTCATGCATTCATACCTTCTTTCACATTCTCTTAATAAGGATTAAAATTATGGAAATGTTTTGAAATCAAGAGCACCTGTATGTCCTTAAGCAACAGAGGTAAAATTAGACCATAAAATTTTAATGCAGATTTTTACGTGTTAACATTGAAATGCAATAACATAAACTTTCATGTTGTGCAAATGATGTACATGTGTTAATTATCAGTGTTTGTGTATGCGAATGACAAGGCGCAAACTCATTAACAATGACACTCTTAATAGGTGTTTTACCATCACCAATTTTTCATCGAAGCTATCTTTTAATTCATTTTCTGAAATTTATGTCATTTATGAATATAACTTGCTTTTTAATTTCTATTTTATTAGAGAAGTGGAAATCAGAGAGATGTTTTGTATGATTGATAGAAAAAACCGTGGTAGAATCAACAGTAGACAGTTAAGACAATTCCTAAAAAAGCATGATGCTAAATTCAGTAGAAAGTCAGTGAAAAATTATGTCCGATCAATAGACAGTGACGGGGATGGTAAATTAACGTTGGAAGACTTAATAAGAGCTCTTACGAGAACAGAACATCCAAAATAAATTGTTTCATTATATTTACTTCTAACAAAAAATATAATGAGTAAACTGTAACAAAAAGAGAACTAATAAAAATGATCAGTTTCCACTTTGTTTAACCTTTTTCTATTGATATTCATCAGTGTATGGCTTTCTACATATATGCATATGCGATGTTGCGTATTGTGTATGTTGAATTGGCATGAATTATACTGTTCAATAGATCTCATTATATGAACATTTTGAGTTTCCGATGGGAGATGCGGTGAAATTTCACCTACAATTGTTTAGGTTTCAAATAAGTAAAGATTATTATTCTAAAGATATATTTCTTCTTACACAATTCACCTATACATAACTTATTTTTTTATAATAGCTTTATAACTATACATTATTTTCTGTGAAAAATTTACTAAGCGTATAACTGCCTATATCTGTCTAAGGTATTAATCAGTACTGCTTTGAACTGTAACTGAGGGTATAAAAGTAGCAAAAGTCACTTATCCTATTGTCAATGATTCGACGTTCAACGAACGATGGAATCCTTCGAATTGTAGCAGCAAAGACAATTAATCATGGAAAAAAGGTTGGAATAAACTGATATTGATACTTTATAAATTACCGAATTTTCTGTGTTAACTTTTACGATGTGGAAAAGTTTTTGATAACTGATAGTACTCTTGAATTTGCATTTCCTGTTGTAGAGTCTTCCGTATATTGTTAAAGCTGTGACCATCAAATTATTGCCATTTACGTCATTATACATTTTTCTATCTGGTTTAAAAATTATCATTCCGAAAACCCAGGATGGCACTTTACCGCTGTCTTACTCAGAATGACATTGCTAGTTTTAATAGTTAAGTACTGCTTACTAGCCTCTTTATGGGTACTTAATGAAGCAGATGTCTGATAGCCTATCCAAAACTTTGGTGTTTACCTTTATTTTCAATGATACGACAATATTAAATGGTTCGTGTTAACATAGATTCAGAGTTGTTGGTGCATCTTTAGTTGCAATTGTAAAAGATAAATAAAAAATCTTCAAATATATATTTTGCCTTCAGTGGGTCTAGCGGTAATCCTAAGAAATCCTTTCGTTGAGAAGTTAAATGAGAACTCTTAGAAATCAGTTTTTTTTTGTAAGATTTAGCAACACACTTCACTTCACCAGTTGAGTTAATTTCGTACATTGAACTTCCGTGTTTCTGTTAGTTACACCCAGTTGGTATTCTTTAGGACTAGGTACTAACAATCACACTTTGAACAAAGCAAGAGCGGAAAATGTACTTATTTCGCGATGACAAGGAGTAATTTGTAGGAACTGAGAGTAACATAAGACCGGAATGATGTAAGTTGTTAAATTATTCAGAGTTAAAAGGACTGACTAATTACAGAATAGTTAGAGGAATAGGCCTGGAAACAACAGTTTGTTTTGTTTACAAATAAAGTTTAACTAGAAGGAATATAAAAACATGTTAGGTTACGTAACCACCAAAAATATGTTTTAATAAAGTAGCAAAAGGGGGATAACTTATATAGTATTAAGATAAAATAACGAAATTTTCTAAACAGGAGAGAAGATGACGTAAGGCAGTGAAAGATTCGACACTGTCTCGTTCTGTTCACGTACATTTGGTTTGGATCTTTTGATGGCAGTTGCTTAAAAAAAATAGGAAACCAGGTTTCTTTTGCCTAGTGATTATTTTGAACGCCTTCTGATTGTCCACAACATGGCCAGTGTTCATAGATAGCGTGTAAGCTCACTGTTTGATGCCTATGAGTCTTTTAGTCTCAGATACTTTGGTATGTGTTCAGAAATGAGGGAAATAACCCTGCTTTCTGTTTTCTCAATGTACTTGTCACAGCACGTGCATGTAAGTTGGTTGATACCATCGGTGGTAACATTAGATGGGAGTTTGTCCACTTTTGATTATCTTAAACAACTGGCTGTTTGACAAACATATTCAAGCTTGGAAACTGGATGTGTTCCTTTCAGGACACCGTTTAGTTTGCATCTTATTCTACTAGCAGTATCACCACCTTTCAAAGCCAACTGTTGAGAGACAGACATTTTCTTCACTGTGCTGCAGTTCACCTTCTCAACACTACGTTCCCTACGTTTGTCGATCCACTTCTGTTGGTAAATAATATCAAAAAGGCATTTTCCACATTGAACAGCTCTTCCTAGACCTTTTCTTCCGTGAAAAACTTTCTTACATGATCAAACAACGTTCTCACCAATCCATTTTTATAAGTTTTAGGGCAGAAATCTTTAAAGTTCAGGTAAATCCCCCTCTAGGTCTCTTTTTCTATGCCTTACGATTTTATTGTCTATATCATTTTGAGTAAAAAGGCCAAGAAAATGAAACTTGTCCCTAATTTCATACTCCATTGTAAACTTTATATTAGGATGAGTACTATACAGGATGTTCAGTATTTGAGGTGCCAGCGCACCTTGATCGATTTTCCTTTCCTACTTTCCTACAGAATAAATACAATAAAAACTACGTGAATGAAAAACTACAGAGAAGGAAACGACTTGCTTTTACCAATTCTTCCGCTCCTTAAAGAAAACAGTAGCTTACTGTTGAAAATATTTAAATAAAACACTTACCATAAACACTGGTTACAGCAATTTTACAGTTAAGATCTGTGAAGCATTTGCAAGATTTTCAATATGTTTTACTTCACTTTCCGACGTCTATAGATCTTTTGTGTCTGTTGGATGGATACAGCTTCTTTTTTTATTGACTATTCTTCATAAACCACAAGAAAATAAACTAATTCGCAAGTGAAACAAAAGAAATAATCAACTGTGACCTTGAAGTTTTGAAACAGCTAATAGGTTAAAATACTGATGAAAATTTTCAAAGGTTTGCCAGATTTCGTTAATGCAGTTGTAGAAATTGAGCATTGTGGTGAAATGAGATTCCATATTAGACACGTCAATTTCAAATATTTAATAATTCCTATTGTGGCATTAAGAACACAATATTCAGCGAAGAGACTCTTTCCAACGAATTTATTATCAAGTTGTACAATCGTACATATATGATTTTTTTATAAAAATTATATCCGGTGAGGGAATTAGGTCAAAGGTGTGAATACATGAAATAATAACGGTATGAAATGCATCTAAAATATTTGTGATTATAATCACAGTTAATGTCAAGTGGCAAAATAATAAATGTCATTTATAGAATAATACATTAGGTCTCAGACAAAGTCTTGTTCTCATTAGATATGACGTCGCTGTTTACCAATGTTCCTGTCATGGAAACTGTTTGCTATTTATGTGATTATATTGATACACATAGTTTAGAAATAGGGTTGCCGACAATCCATCTCAAAGAGCTTTTACTGAGATGCACGTTGAATGTTCATTTCACCTTTAATAATGAGATTTTTAGACAGAATGATGGCATTGCCATGGGATCACCACTGGGTCCCTTGTTGGCTGATTGTTTTATGGCAAAGCTTGACAATCCTCAGCTTAGTCAAACCATCGGTCATTTCCACATTTATGAAAGATACGTATACGACACTTTCGTTATCTGCGATAATAACGTATTTCTTGATGATGTCTTGTTTGCTTTCAACAACTGCCATCCTCCTTTACAATTCACCGTAGAAAAGGAATCCGAACTAAGTATTCCGTTTCTTGATGTGTGCCTTAGCAGACGTAATAATATCTATCCCCTGGAAACTTACATGGAACGGACAACTAACTAATTTTTACAGTTGGGTGCCTATTTCCAGGAAAAGGAACCTAATTCATTCACTCTGCTTTAGGATAAGGAAAATTTGTAGTTCTGATTGCGTTGACTCAGAACTTGACTTCTTAAAAGCCACGCTCGCAGAAAACGGTTACCCTAACCGATTTATTGACAGCAACATGAAAGATAAGCAGTCTAAACTGGTCACCAACTCAGTTCCAAAAAAAACTTATTCATGAACTTGGAATTCAAAGGTGATGAAGCTTCAGATATGCTCAAAAATCGTCTCTCCAAATCAGTCAGTAAGACGTCCTTTGCAGCAAAATTACATATGACGTTCACTAGCCACAATTTCTTCTATACCTCTGTAAAAGATAAGCTCCCCCGTCTGACCGCCTTCATATGGATCTATCAGCTCTTGTGGAGCAAGGTACATTGGCCTTAGTCAGAGGACGCTTTCCACATGGATACAAGAACATATTCCAGCATGGTGTGAAGCTCTATTCAGGAACAACTGGTCGACTTCTGTCACTCTGTCAACCCAGACCATGATTTCAAGATCATACATGAAATCCATGCTAACTTCCCGCGCTTTCTTAGTTACACACTTCTAAAGACAGCTGAGGCCTTGGCAATTCATGACTTTAAGCCAGACCTTTGTGTACAAAAGAAGTATGTATAATCCCCACTTCTGCCCTGGGCGTAGAGGGATAGACATTTATTTATTGTTTATTTAGTCATTCTATATACTTTTCCCTTATTACTACGGTTATTATTATTGTCATTATTATTATTACTATTCTCACTCTGAATCTTTTCCAGTCATTTTAAAACCAAAATTATTAATTTTTATATTTTTTATTTTTACAATATTGAATTCTATCTTATCAAATTTCACACCATGTTATGTAACATTTTAAATGCATTTCATACCGTTATTATTTCATGTATTCACACCTTTGACCTAATTCCCTCACCGGATATAATTTTTATAAAAAAACCATATATGTACGATTGTACAACTTGATAATAAATTCGTTGGAAAGAGTCTCTTCGCTGAATATTGTGTTCTTAATTTCAAATATCACACAGTGATCCGATTTTAATAACTGGATGGCGTTTCGAGAATAAATTATTTCTCAAGATCATATCAATTTGATATTATTATGAACAGTAATCTGCCACTGTGCAAATAACTGCCTGTCAGATAAAAAATTATTTAATCCATGTCAGACAAATAATGACATCTGTCAACTATAATGGTTTCACTTACAAAAGATCATGGAACTGCCACTGAGTAAAACATAACTACCGAAATTCAGGTGCAATAAGCTGTGTTGATTATTTACTGTGAAGACTGGTGAAGAATGCTTAGTCCTAGACTGATTCCATATCTTCTTCTTAAGAAATGTCAAGCAGTTATTCCTAAAATTTTTAAATGCTCACAAGTTTCACAATTTCACATGGTGATTTATCTAAACTTGATAAAATGGGGAACCAAATAAGACATAAAACAATAATGTGAAGTTTATTCGGAAACTATACAAATATACCAAGATAACAAAGTTATGAGGACACCTGGAAAACTGGAGAGTACTTGAATATAACATTTATTAAATAGCTAAAAGAATTAGACATGTTGCTGCTGTAGTGCTTAAGCAAGAGTAGGGTGCAGTGCTGAGCGCAAGTGATAAAAAAGGATGTCTTTTACATGAGCGAAGTGGATCTTCTGGATGAATAATTCCTTGAAAAGCGTTTCTTTGCTAAATGTTGTCTTCAGGAATTGTTCATGATTGCAAAAACAGCTTCAAAATATGCAGACGAGAGCTGATTATCCGTCCCCTCACGAAAGAGTCGTTAAATAATTATATATACATATATATATACGAAAGTTTTTTTCAAATATATTCCTTAACATTCCTTTCATATACAACACTATTACTGATTTCTATTTCTCCCCAACATAGTCTCTAGTAATGCTTTTTGTAATAAACATCATTTGTATTTTGTTCGAAAACGTGAAAACAAGTGACTGACA